CCACTAAACACACTACACGTTATGATTAATATTACACTGTAGGCCATATCAAACTAACCGCATTTATTCCCACCAAAAAACTGATGACGTCATTTTAAAAATCAAATAAGACAATGAAAAAAAATTGTATTCTTTATTAAGTACGAAAAGTTGGCACAAAGTTATGTTCATTGTTCATATTGAATAAGACATGAGAACTTTAGGAAACTACCCAATGTATTTTACACCAAGCCTTTATTTCATTCTGCACAAAAAACCCGACACTTGACAAATACCAAAAATAGACTAAAAATCGCAATATCTGCTTAAAGCTTCTTAGAACACCCATTCAACACCGACCACTAACACCCCTGCGTCTAAGCGCCTTCTCAGAAATTACCGCTCGCAAACACTAAACTGTCAAAATCCTCCTAAACGTCACCCCGTGATGTCCATTGTGCCGTAATCCCGTCCGAAGATCCCTCATGACCTTGAGCTTCTTCGCTCTCCGCATAGTAACAAATCCGTCTTTATCTTGACTAATATGTTAATCGCAGAGACAGGGTGTCCATACGAGTTGAAAAACTTGACCCCGAAAGAGAGTATCTCCACAGACAGATCGCAGTGACCCCAGACGAGTAAAACAAACAACGATATCACAGCCGCCTCGGTCCACAATGCATGTCAACATCTCGTCCAGCCGGGACAAAAAATGACGGATTTTCGAGCCCCCTCCGCGCCTCGCGGAAATAGCTCAAGGCCGGCCCTGTTTCGTAACTGTCGCTTTATTTTCGTTTGTTTCCGCCGCCGCGCGACGCGCCGGTGTTGGGCGCAGGGTTTTTGGGACACCTGGTGTATGATAAAAATATACAGTTAGTTATTGTAGGAAATAAAAATATTATCTTTCCGTTTGTGCCAAAAATAGAAAAATTAAGCGATTTCGGTTTTATCAAACATACAATATACTTAAATCCGTCTAATGAAGTTGTGTACAGTTATCTCTAAAGCGCGTAAAACGTATGCAAGTTCAACATAGTAACTAATTATATAAATTATTTTACTGAGTAATGTAGTGTTTATCTTATCCTTTCTCGGGACTGTAAAAGCCAAATTTGATGAAATGTTGAGTACGATTGTAAGAAATTTTGGAGTATTTTTGTCGCCTTCTTTGCGGCAGTGGGGCGAAGCCCGCCCTGTCGAGCAACTGTCGCTTGTTTTGGTGGTGCGTTCCGTTGGCAGCGCCGTCTCTGTTCTGGTGCGGGATTTTCGGGGCCACCTGGTGTACGCGAATTAATTATGTGGAAATTATACAGAACATCGCTTTTTAGAGCTGATAAAAATGCGTTTTAATTATTATTGAAACGAATTCCTTGTAGTCAGTTAAAACGTGTGTGGCTCGGTGGATTTTTTTGTCATCGGGTATGTGGCAGGAGTGTTCCCACGCTGGAAATGGCGACAAATTTCAATTAGTTGACGATTAAGAATTATGAGTGTTGTCGATAATTATTTTTGTGAGATGTCCGCTTTATGGCCACTAAAAACGGCGATGTTCGGTCGAAATTAAAATTCAGTAGCTGCTAGGTTTAATGTTTCTCATCAAAAGGTTTTTTCCGAGGCTTAAATTCGAATAAATTTCCTGTTCTACGACTTGTACATCAATCACGAGGATGCGGAGTGACGTAACTGTCAAATTTCACGTTTCAGCGCCATTTGTCATAAGCGATTTGCATTTTTTTATACTCATCATCCCGTTATTATGGATTTTGACCTTTACGGACCATCCGTAATTCCTTTTAATTGCCTTTGTCCTAATCTGATTCTGGGAACTTTTTCAAGCGCGACGTTATTATGGGGATTGACGATCTAAACTAAATATAAAAATTTCTTTAAGGCGGCTTCATACGTTGAATATTTACATAAACTACAAAAAATTGACGACAACATTAACATCCGATGCTATCTCGAGGCTTAATAAATCTGTTTGCAAGCACTGGCCAAAGGTTACATAGGTATATTTATTTCAAACCACATTTGCTGGATATTTATTTTTTAAAAGTACTTGAAAATCACCTACATATGTTACATATAACAAACTTAAACCTCATAATATGAATAAGAAAATTTGTAGTTCAGTTTCAAAGGCAACAAATGTGTTTCAATTGTTGATATAAAAATGATTTCAGGAGTCTGACAAGGGGTTCGCCTTGAACTTACTTTATTTTTCTTTTACAGGAATAATCTTTAAACGAGGAAAAATTACGCCATTAGGGTGTATTTTAAAGGACTTTTTATTTTTATTATACTGATAGTTGTTAATACAGTGGATATATATTGTATTATCTACAATTTTTGCCGTTTTTGATATTGAACACATTTTCATGGCGTGATAATCTAATTTGGCAGCTAAAACTTGAGAAAAAAATATTATAAGCATGGTAACAAATATCTCAAAAATATTTTCTTTTTTCTTATCAAGTTTTAAATGAAATTTTGTTGATATTATAGGTACTTTAGTATACATTTTATGTAATACTTATTTATATTTTTTAGTTATTATAACGAGTTAACTTAGAGTTAAATTGGTTTACTTTCGCAATAAATTATTATCGATGACTTTAACTGTGAGTAGCTTTTCTTAATCAAAATTCTTTCATATTTTACAAAGGCAGTATTTATACAAATAAGACAGTTGTTTCTCTCACAACAACTTCAAACCTATTTTTTAAGACTATAGCAGAATTCTTTTAATTTTGGCAAGGTGTTGTAAAACGGTATGCTTCTGTTTCTATCTTCACTGTCACACTGTACTTTTGCAAATAAGAAGTGTATCGGACGAAGATAGAGATACAAAGTGTCCTAATTGATATAATTTGACACCAAATTAGCTCATCATTATGATGTGCAACTGTCATTAACTTATGCCTATGAGAGATCAATAAAAACACGATCAAATCTAGTCATGGATTTTTGAAAATTTGTCTTTGATAGAATTTTCGTCTCAAAAATCCGTGGCTATCTTTGATCGTGTTTTTTATTGCTCTCTGGTTAGGTATATCAAGAAATAATACAATATAAAGTAGGTGTTTAAATTTATTTCTAAATTTTACTCGGAATCAAAATTGTTTGGCCTGGTGTGACAATTTTTGTTGTTGTTCTAGCATAACTTTCCCTTAAAACTGTTAGATAAATGTAGTTTCTAAACGTTTTATTTAAATTTTGTTTAAGATTATTAAAAATAATGTTTAATTTTTTAACCGTTTTTGATACGGATTCTAAGATCTAACAAACGTTGTTTTATTATCATTTCTTGTCATCTTTTTCTATGGACATTTACATATTCAAATTATTCGTGCAACAAGTCAATGAATAAAATATGGCTTCCTTGCTTTGAAAATTGTACCTATATGAAACCACCAATATTTTTCTTTTCATTAAATATTTGTCACTGCATTTGTGACTCAACTATATTTTTATTAATTTAAGTGTTAAGTTTTTTGAAGTACATACTTATAAAAATTTTTTGTTCAGTTTGCACAATAAATTTACTTGTTTCAGAATTTAATTTTGTTATTTTAATAACAACTTAGTTCAAACCATAATTTAAAGTACCTCCCCCCCTCCCGTGGGGGTGTCTATTACGTTACATAAACATATTGTGTGTAACGCATTACAAAAATGTATTTAACATAACACGATTCATATAATATGCACTTATGCAATTCTATTTGGCAATTTTTTACGAAATATGTTATACAAATTATTATGAATCGAAGTAAATCACCGAAAAAATACAATTAAGCCATTAGAGTTGTTCAAATTTGCAACTACAGATAGTATTTTTATCAAAAGCAGTTTAAATTAGACTTATAAATATTTAACACCACATAATTATACTATTTAGGAAGTATTACGTTTACTGCAAATTATACTTAAATAACAGCCATTTATTTATTGTATATTATTATGTTTTTTAGTTATGAATGCAGCCATTATAAAAAGATGGAAAATGTTTGATGCTTCATGCTTCTTTACTTCACTCTGTCTTAAAATACAAGAATTGGAATAGTGAGAATATAAAATCTGCCGCATGACTTTTATAAATTCTTTGAGAAAAAATATAAGCAATAATTAAATAAATATTTTGATTCACAGTTGGCTGTGTGGAACTCTAAACCAAAAAATTTTCCATGTACAGAGTATTTTATTTACCATTATATTAAAAAAAGCTTCACAATTAAAACACCAGTAGATAATCCAATTAGTAAAACGCAAGTTGTTCCACGTGAAAAAACAAAACTTTGTATATAAAAAATAAACAATAATGTTGTAACAATAGTTATTCTACTCAATTACGCCACCTGCCAATCTACTCAGTTTCTTGGTCCACGGTTACCATAGTTACGCACCTAAACACGACCTTCAATGGTTTTTATTTATCATCAGCCATACCCATCACCACACAAAACCCATAAACTTTTGGTAATTAATCGCGACCTTCTACCATTTAATAACAGACATCAGTGATTGCTACTTGATTTTGTATTAGAAAACCTGAGACGGGCCTCATTTTTCATCCACACAACACTATAATTTTTGACATGATGTGTCCATGGCCTGCTTCCTCATACGCGCTTATTAATCCCATCACATATTACATAAATATTAAAATCAAAGTTGGCTCATTTACGTGCCATATATGGAATACTACTACTGTTCCTGAAATAGCAGCAAGTAGGCCATGAAACACATTTTTTGTGTACATGTTACACACATTTTTAAATGTCATTTTTTCAACACAGTTGTATCTTCCGTCGCCCTATGTATGTACCGCTTTTCAATATTTATTTACATTGCGGTTTTGCGTCGGCTGAACCATCGAGGGAGGCTGCGGTTGCGGTGAAAGCACTTAAATCTGTTTACACGCGCCGGTCGACCGCCGCCGGACGCGAACGCGCAAAATGCATCAGAAAAATCGCACTCGAGCGGTCATCGCGTCGAAAATTTCCGAAAAATCGACTCACCCAATGCATCCCGGGCGTGTGAGAAGCTCTTTCTTCAAACACTCCCATCTGCAGTGACGGCAGACCCGGTGACGTTTCGTCCTTTTCCGAAACTTCTTCCGTCACTGCGCCAGCAACAACCCCCACAGAACACAGCCCTTAAATCACTGTCACAAAGCACCTCGGGAACAATGTCACATCACTGTCTGCGTCACTTGTCGGTCAATTGTTCCGCACACCCGCTACACTGTTATTAGTGCCGTAAACAAACACCTTTGCAAAAAAAATCGCTGCGCATGTCACTCGATTTACATCACTATTATATCAAGTGTGCGTGTGTAATAGCGTTACACACTTGTTTTGTGCAGCGTCCGCGCACTCGGACGGATCGCAGGCGGCTGCGGTGATGCGCATGTGAGAAGGCGACGCGAGCAGGCCACGCCCCGAGCCGCGGGGTGGGGTCGGCGGGGAGTGGGAGGGGACGCGTCGTCCTATCCGGATCTAGATCGTATTTGTTTATGTTGGAGACAAATGCAGGGGATGTGGTGGCTGGGATTGTCGTGGATGGGGTTAGGAAGGCCGAGACGGAAAGCGGTTTGCCGTGTAAATATTTGAGAGATAATTACGCTGTGTGGGCCAATTGATGATTTCATTATTTACAGTGTAGAGCGGTTTCATGAATGGAGTTGTAAGGGAACGTAGGTACGAGTGGATTTTTACGGCTTATTTACAATTAGCGCGTTGGAGGTTATAATTAAAGGTTTTGCTCCGGACGGTGCCAATTTTGTTTATAAATATTAATTATGTAACGTAAAAGGTTAAATCAACAATGCAAAATTTGCAAACAAATACACACGACTGACTTAATATGGTGGATAAGTAATTTTAATGCTTACCTTGATACTAGATTAACTTTTTATATATGTTATGTGTGATTTTTTTGTATGGTCTAGCAGGTGCCACCAAATTAAACAAACCATATAAATACGCCACTTATTTTTTGACAATATCTATAATAAAAATAAACGAGGCATTTCAGCAACAAAAAAATTAAGCAAAATAAAGAAATAAAAAAGAGCAACTAAATTGGCTCGAAAACATATCTATGTTGTACAGTTATCAAAGTGTTTCTATTTATAACATATATTATATAGTAAAACAACTGTAACAAAAAATCTTATTTACGTCTATATTTTAAGTCAACAGACGTGGAAAGTAGGTACTTATAATACTTATAAACGTAAAAAAACGTAATAATTTTTCTAACAAATAATAGTTATATTTTCTGAATACATTTTATTATATAGATAGGTATAAGTAAAGAAAATAATATCATACGTAAAAAAACTAAAAAAATCAACCTACACAATGAATTGTGGTGGATGGAAAATATTTTAATCCCTACACACTGGACTCAGTATGTTAAGAATTGAAGTATTTAAAGATTTACACCCATTTTTTTCCTATAAAACTATTACGTGGGAAAATTTGTTAGAGAGTCAACAACAGGAATAATTTTAATTGTGTTAACGGAATCTAAAATATCTACCTATGCATCAATTTTCTATTTGAAATTGTGAAAAATAATTATTATTATATTATTAGTTTTGTAATTAAGAATAACTTATGGTTAACTGTGGAAAAATGCAAATTACCATACATGGATGCAAAAAATATAAATATTTTTTTTATTTTACACTAAAGTCGAGGTAACTCTAGGCTATTTTGCCATCACAGATCTGGACGGTTATTACTTATTAAGACAGAGAAGAAATGAGTTTCTAGTTTCTAGTTAATTTGCAACATGTACTGGGGAGGATTAGTGGATTCGTTGCGCCGCAGTTTACATATGCCCATATAAAAACCGCCAAAATTACTACACACGTAGGGGGTGGGGAAGTGTAACACGGTGTGCCAGAAGGAGGTAGGGGTGGAAACCTATGTGATGTCACATCTACACTTGTTTTTTACTTCCCGAGCGTAAGGTAAGAAAGTATTGTAATACCATTTAAATTTTATAAAACAATATTCTGCTGTACATATGGTTTATGAATTCGGCTTTTAAACTGAAAAAAAAAACTCGACATATTTTACTAATGTAAACATTTACTTAGATATAATGCAGCAAAAATAAGTAATTACGTAAATAACAAAATGTAGCCTCAGTAGCGAGAGTCAGAATTTTATTTTGATGTTCTAAACAAATGCTCTAACGACTTCTTTTTTAAAATAAATTATCGTCCCCTCACCCATTGTCTATACCTACCTAGGTACATACTGGGCAGACCTTTATCAGTTTTCATTAAATTGCTCCATTAAAATACAACATAATAGTTTATATACATTATTTATTATTATAGAATGCACCCCTGTAACAAGTTCAGCGTCCATCTCCATCAAAATTCATCCTTGAGCGCCTGCCCAGAGCGGTGTGAACGCCACTTTAATAGCCAGTTTAAACAAACTCGTATATCACTGCGTTACAAGTGGCAATAAATCAGGTGTTGTTTCATAGTGACTTTATATATCTAAGCGATTTTGCTCGTTCGTTTTATGCGTTTCAGTTCTTTGTTTTCTGCTGCTTTTTACGCTGACCCACGCTCTGCTAAGGAAAACAGTTGCGCTGTTGTCGGCGATGAGGTTGGATTTTCATGACGGTGACTACTGGTATTCGACATTCTTTTACCACCTATTCATGTCAGTCAAGTGCCATATGCATGCCTATTGATAAGTCGTACGCCCTCTGACGTGTGACAAGAGAAACAATGAGAAGTGACTAGTTACAAAAAGTGAGGTTTTTTTGATAGTATCTAGCACATGCTTTACATTCTTAGTCGGTTGGTAGGTTTGTGTGTTGCATACAGGGTTGCTCAAAAGTATGGAAGCAGTGGATACCTATCACCAGAACGGTTTGTTGAAACTTTTTGAAATTTGGGCTGGTTTGTTTTTGAAATGCAGGGCTAACTTTTTTCGTTTTTACTGATTACTTGTGCGTTTTCCCACACTTTGTGCGTTAATGGACTTGTCTTGTTGTTTTCATTCATCTCAGGTAATGAATAGGTACAGGGGAATGACTATATGGTTAGTGTTACAAATAACTTTTTTAGGTTAGGATGGGATATTCTTTGGAGCAAAACACGTTCATGATTATGTCCTATTACCCTAATGGGGTGTTAATGAGGATGGGGTTCGGTGTACTCTGTGGATGCGTGTAAAAACGAGTATCTGGTGAAATATCCTGTTGTCATCGAGGAACAGACTTTGCAGACGCACATACGGCGAATTGTGGCCAGATTTATCGATACTGGTAGCGTCGCTAAGGGAAAACCGACGGGGAGACTTCAAGTTAATGAAGACGTTGTTGAGGATTTAAGGACGAGGATGGAACAAAATCCGAAAAAATCTTTGTCAAAACTCTCTCTACGCTCCGGAGTACCATACAGCACGTGCCAGAAAATCGTAAAAGAGAAGTTACATATGCATACATCTATTTGTCAGATTTTTGTTTGCAGCATCCATAGCGTGTTCCGGAACAAAGACTTATATTTCCCAAAATAATAATTATTATTAGTACCTACAAACGAATGAAATTCAATGTTTGCTTTTAAAATTTTTTATTTACTATCAACTATAGCAACTGTGAACACATGATTCAATTCAAACGCGTAAGATTCGGTTAAAATTATTTGGGTAGCGTGATTATTGATAATAATTAATTCTTTGTTAAACTTTATTACTAAGTACTTCTTTAAAAAATGTCCTCACTACGGATGAATGACCATTTCGTTGACACTTCGTAGCCTCGATACACAAAATGTCCCCATTGGTCAGCATAAACCCACCACCAAATAATTCCTAATGCTCACTTTATGTGAAATACCCAAAACTAACTTCCCTTTAAAATTGTTAAGTGTGGGGCCACCTATTGAGTATCTATGTAACAACGAATACTATTGCGGCCTGTGGAAGAAGATAAAACACGGGTTGTATTAATTTCATGGTTTAAATAGTGCACTGTGTCACTCAATAATTAATTTCTCCCATTCTTACATGAGGAAGCCTGCAATATTATAATGTGATCTTCCGCAATGTTCAAGGCGTGTTTGATAAAAATTTCAAGACAAACTAGTTTGTAGTTTTTAAATGCAACCTATGTTTCTCCGTGTGTCCAAAATACACGTAGGTAGTCGGAACCATCTTTAGTAAAAAAATTCCCATATAGCAAACAGGAAAGAATGCATCTTTTTTTATAATTCAAAATTTGTTGAAGGATAATGCTTTTGTGGCAAAAACAAAACTAGCGAAAAATTTAAAGTGATTTGAGATGAAAAAGAAATCTAATATAATGAATTAATGACTTAACAGAAAATTTTGATTTTTTTTTCATTTTGATTTTTATCTATTCATTGGGAACAGATGATTTTAGGCACAGCAATAGTGAATTGGGAATTCATTCGGTCCACGATGTGATTTTTGTGAACTCACTTTGATTCATTTATTAACTTGAATTAGTGCATAATTTGACGTTACGTGAATTCCGTGTTATTTGAAATTGTTGATAAAGTGTGGCAGATTTTAGTTTTTTTTCTGATTATCACTGTTCATGTTAATGTTTACCTGATATTTTTCCCTTTTTTCTTAATATGTATACCTAGTATTTTTTTAACAAGGCGATACTCATGAACAAGTTTTTAATTTCCTGTAAAGAAACACCATGAAACTTAAATCATGTGTAAAAATGGAAAATTTAGGAAATTCCAAGAGATTTTGAATTTTTTTCAACAACGAAACACCACAGACTTCCCAGATTCTTTCAGATTTTTCCAAAAAGTGGCTCCCACAAACTTCTTCAAAAAACGCGACACTTGGGTGTTCAAGATGGTTTCAAATTCTCCCAAAATGATAGCAACAGAAATCCCAAAGATACTTTTAAATTCTTAAAAAAATTCAGAAGCATCAAAGATTATTTCAAATAATTTTAAAAACAACATCAAAGACTTCCAAAAATCATTTAATCTCTTGCAAAAACGAAACACTAGGACCCTAAGATTCTATTAAATTAAAAAAAAAAAAAAACACAAGGGACTCCAAGATTCTTTAAAATTGTTTCTAAACTTAAACACCAGAAGCTCCAATAATTTTTTATTTTGTTTCAAACACGAGACACCAGTGGCCACAACAATTTTTTTGAAGAAAACACATTTGGTAGCCAAAAATTCTTCTTAATTTTTAAAAAAAGATACTAGAGACGCAAGATTCTTTCAAATTTTGTCACTTTTTTCTTAATATACATAGTATTTTTTGAACAACACGATACTCAAAAACATGCTTTTAATTTCCTGTGAAGAAACAAGTATTTTGCAGTTAAGCTCCGCCCCCTTGGTTC